TAATAAATATTTATTTATAAATTTGTCAAAAATATCATTTTTGTATCGTCGAACGTTTTTTTTTAAGTTTTGTAATTTTTTTTTCAAACTGTTTATCATTAATAAAGTTGGAAAAAATATAAATTAAAAAAAACTTAAAAAAAATAAAGATATATATGTTTTTTTAGGCTAGAAGATGTCTGAAGACTCTGGTCCACATCTGCGCCAAGAAGAGGGCGCGCAGACATTAGGTCTGCAGTCTTCAAAAAAACAAACAGTCTGCGAGGGCTAATGTCTGCGCGTGGTCTGCGCGGCGCAGACAGAAGATGCCACGCAGATCTGCAAACAAAAAACAAACACTACCTTAATAAGTTAAGCCAAAAAAAACCTTGGTTGAATGTATCAAGACACCAATCATTTACCTGTCTACCTATTTTCCTTTTTTCTTTTTCTCTCCAAACTCCTGTTAATTTAAATTGATGAATGTTGTGAACCTACCCTGATTTATCAAGATTCCTTGTGTTGCAGGGATTGAGAAGAGAAGTTTTTTTGTATTTGGGGAGTGTTTGGATGTGTGTTTTGAAAGTGATAAGTGGATAATCAGCTGTAAAAACAATGTATAGTAGGATATACTTATTTTAGATCGAATGAAATAATAAATAGGATAAATTACACGAATGGTCCTTGTGGTTTGGGGTAATCTGCCCACTTGGTCCATAACAACTTTTTTTTAATCTCAAAAGGTCCCTATAATTAGGACTATTCACTATTTTGATAAAATCGAAATGTCCAATTGGACAATTTGGATTGGACTGTTTGGTTCAGATATTCAGATTTTTTGTTTGGTTTTCAACAAAATCGAATTATTATTTTGGATTTCGGATTGGTTTTGGTTTATATAGTAAGAACCGTATACTCCAAAAAACTAAATAACAATTTATTATTTATTTAATTTTAATATATCTATAATTATTTATTAATTTTATAATTTATTTTTTCAAATAATTTCAAAAAGTTTCACCTAATAAAAAACATTAATATACATTTTATTTCAAAAGTTTTTTATCTATTAAATATTAAACTATAATATACCTTCTTACTTGTTAATGGTTGTTTTTAAATTTTAAATCACAACTAAATAATTTGTTTTTGATTCTTCTACAAAATTAGCTAATATTATAATTATATGTCGTTTTTGAATGTTCTGGTTTTTGAAACCGAATTATAAAAACCGATCCAACCGAATTGTAAATGGATCGGATCGGATCGGATTTGAATTTAGTTTGGACTATTCGGATCCTTATTTTAAAAACCGGAATCAATTTGGATTTACTTAATTGGATCGGATCGAACCGATCCATCCAAACGAACACCCCTACCTATAATATGTTTTTGTTACGCGCTTGGTCCTGCTAGATGTAAAAAGACTACATTACCTATGTACATTTCTTTTTTAATTAGTTTAATGTTTATTTGGTTATTTATTTATAAAAAAAAAATCTTTGATAATCAGTTAGGTCCCACTACCTCGTTCCTATTCCACCCAACCCACCTCTCCGTCTAGCCTCTTCTTCCTTTCCATACCTCAACTATATAATCTTCTTCTCTGGCAACACCACAACCAATTACAATAATTTATTCTCTCTTACCACCCAAGAATTCATTAACCGAAGAAAAATTGAAATCCATGTTTGTAAACACATTTCCATTGAACAACATCTACATTTGGCCACATTAACAATGGTGGAACGACATCTACTTGGACAATTAACTTGTAACAATTACATCTAAAAAAGAATCCCCTCCCGGTTACCACCGTACCAATCGAACCCATCTATGATGTATTCGACTACTGTTACTTGAACGCTAACAGATATGAATCCTACATCCAGAAGTTAAGCCAAGTAGGGTTGAAATCGTCGACAACTCCGAATACTAAAATGATGGTGGCTACGATAGGAATGAGAAGGGGAGAAGGAGTATCTAATGACAAACCTACAACTTTAATGGCTTCAATTGTGGGTTCAATCTGGCAAGAACATTGATTTATTCAAGAACCAAGGCGAAATCAAACCTGAAGCAAAGAAAGGGATGGAATAGAGAAGAGGGATTCCCGAATCCACCTTTTCCATATTCACTGACGAACTGCATGCCCCTCAATTTAGAAGTGGCCGATGAACGCCGGTGGTAGTAGAGGGGGAGTTTCATGGATGTTGTTGGTCCAATAAAGAGGGAAAAACGTTAGGGTTAACAAGGTCAGGGCAAACGGTCTCGCCCGTGACCTTCTTCCAGGTTGTAGCATCGCTGGCGGTAGGTGGGTGGTAGTAATTGAGGGTTATCGTCGATTGGATGTTGTGTGGGACCCACAAAGGGCTTCACAAAGGGCTTCTAACCCAGCGGCATCAGATAGTGCCCTCCCTCTTTGAGGTCGAGGATTCAAGTCATGTCATGGACATAAGTGTAATTAGGTGTTAGTTTAGGAGTAGTTTATATATTTATATTTGTCGGTTAAAAAAAAAGAATAATAATATAAAAAATATCATTAAGGTTAATATACTCAATTCAAGTCGGTAAAGGACTAAAGACGCAATAAAAACATATTATAGGGACCTTCTGAGTTAAAAAACGTTGTTATGGACCAAACACACAGATTACCCAAAACCACAAGGACCATTTGTATAATTTACCCTAATAAATAAAAGAATATACAAGTAAATTTGCACCACCTTTTGATAATTAATCCTCTTACTATCCATTTAAACTAATCATTAATTGGTCCCTTAATAATCAAATAATCATAAGCAGAAGTAGGTTATGGATGTATGTGTATGTGTATATGTATGTGTGAAAAGGACAAAATGGGAAGGGTTTGGCATTAAATTACTGAAATGGATGATAGAGTTTAAAGTACTGAAACCGAATAGAATTACTCACGAAATCCAAATTACAATGAAGTATTGCTTAGAACTATTCTTACCTCCGAAATTCTTCATTGCAACCGAGCCGATGCGGAATAGTGCGATGTCACACAAAATCTTCGTATCTTCATCCATTTGCTTATAGAATTGCTTGTAGAGGAAGGACTTGAGTTGGAGTGTAGGAAATGAAGATAAGCTTTGGCATATAACGTATTACATTTTGCATGAGATTCATTCTCACGATAAATATAGCCGAATTAAAGCCCCTGTCAAAAAAATTCAAACAGATGAGAGAAATTAGGGAATGAGAGAAATCATGAAGTAACAGAAACAAACGTAGAACAAAAACCGAGTGGCCAAAAAATTGGGAGGGTATTAGAGGCTGCCATGTGGCAGCCTTTTATTAGAGAGTATAGATATAAATATACATATACATATAGATTATCATTTGAATCAATATCTAAACATATGAAATGTAAATTTCATCGACAAATTTTATAATAGAACAAAAAGACAAACGACTGTCATAAATTGTTTACACAAAAGACAGTTTTTAAATCAATCATTGTATCTTTCAAATCTGGTGTCAATGTCAATGACATCTAATCACCGGTCAGATTTACCGGCTTGTTACAATTGATCACAATTATGCACTTTAATTTAATATGCCACAGTAAACAACTAAACATCGTAATAAACCACGACATGTTTGCCTCTAATTCATGTTCTGCCGCATTGCACGGGTAAAAAGTTAAAACCGGTGCTGACATTTTCCTAAATAACCTGAACTTTGAGAAAATCCGATGCAGTGGGATTTTCGTAAATAAGTGGAACTACGGTTAATATATTAAAACATATTCATTAAATCATCTTTGTTTGTTAACTTTTGAATTTTTTTATTTTTATTTTTTTATTTTTATTTTATTTTATTTTTTCAGTTCAACCTATTAAATTATGAACTACCCCAATTAATTTGTGAATTGTATATAGTATGTTGTGAATTTACTCCTTTAAGTTGTGAATTTCGATGACAGTAAATAAATTTAACATTTTTTTTAAATTAGTTTATATTAACTTGTGAGTTACTATATATATGTTAAGTTCATGAATTGTATTCATTATAATGTGAATTTTATTTTGTTAATTTGTGAATCCCGATTACGGTATTATATAAATTTAAAAAATTATAGAATTATTTTTTTTAAAACCCGACTTATATGAAGTTGTGAATTTACTTCGTTAAATTGTGAATTCTGTAAAAAAATTCAATAAAAAAAAAAAATTTAAAAACAAAAACATGTCCTACCGTTTCTCTATTTATTGCCAAAGATGGTTATCTCGTGTGTAACGTCCTAAAATAGTAATAATTTCTTTTTTTCATTTAAAAGTCATTCAAATCATTCATTAATTGTTCAAAACCCATACAAATTATAATATTATGTTAAAAAGTTGGTGAACAGGAATCTTTTAGATTTCCCCCACAATTTTTTCTAGGTTTTAAACATTTGCCACAACTTGCTTTCTTATTTTTGCCACCGAATCCCCTTTTCCCTTGCCCACTAAAACTTCTATTTTTTATTTTTCTGACGCAAACCGCCTTACAATTTTGTTATCCTTATCTTCTATTCTTCACTGCCATCCTTCTCTAATTCTCTTTCTCTGTCAACCAGGTTCCAATTCCTTTCCTTTCACCGCTCTTCGACCCGCCCATGGCTTTCTCCACCACTCCGTTTTACGAACCCTTTTTGTAGATTGCTTTCTGTTGGAGACGATGGTCTGGCGACTTGAAGTGTTTTCCACAAACCATCGCTTCCCTCTCCTTCTACCAGCTCCATGTGACTCCTGCTTCGATCGTCTCGTGTTTCTCATTAATTTTGTGTTTAAAACCACAATTTCAGGTTATTTGTTTATCCTTTTTCATTCTTTCTATGTTCTGTGGCTGGTGCTTCGACGCCCTAAATCCTTCTTCTCTCTCTTATCTCCAGGAAATCAAATCAATGACTTTACTTGCCGCAAGAACAAAGGGGAAGCAGAAAACACCGACTCCACCACACCGGTTGATTCGAGTACCTTTTTCGTTTCACTTACTGTAATCGATTGGGAGTTTCTTTCTTCCAGTTGACAAGTTCGACATGGAAATCAACAACGCATACCGACACTGATGATGGTGGTGGTTGCCGGTGGCGGTGGCTTCTGTGTCTCTCTCTCTCTCTCTCGCTCTCTCTCTCTCTCTCTCTACAGTTTAGGGTTTTCCAGTTTCTTTCCTCAAGAATTTCAGGTTACGTTTTCTAAGCCACAAAACCCATTTTGTAGATTGCTTTGGAAACTGATTCGGTTTCCTTGAATGACAGATTAAGAGATTAATTTGAGATTGTTAAAGCTGATGGAGGTGATTGCATCCAGAACATGACACGACTATAATTTGGCTTCAACAAAAGCCCAACAAGCAGGTATATATATGAATATATACTTTCTAATAGGGGCAAATTTAACACAAACCCAATACTCAGAACAACAGTTTATGAAATAGGTTAGTTTTGTTGGAAGTTTAAAGCATTCCCTTTTTTCCACTGCTAAAAACAAGCTTTTCCCTTCTTATATGATCACCGTTGACAAGAATCCAGTAAGAGGAGATTTCACCACCATTCAACAAGCTATTGATTCTCTCACTTTTTTGAATCTTATTAGAGTTGTTATCAAAGTTCATGTACGAGTTTACAAGCATCTGAATCTACAGTTTGCTCAAGAAGATGGCTGGCTTTCTTCATTCTATTCATGTCTGATAAAAAAAGTACCTAAATACATCCAAAACAACCATGTAACATTCATCAAAACATTTTATACTTTCCAATATATAATATTTTTCATTTTTGATTATTTTCAGTACGATAAAGCAAGTATTGTGGAAGAAAAATTCAATGAACTCGAAAAAGAAGACACATCAAATCAATCCTTGAGTTGTACACTAAAAAACAACGCATATCTTTTAGCATGTAAAACTGAATAATATCATCAATGTGGCGAATATCAGAAATGCTTTGAATTGACTTCAGTGTAAGTTCACCTTTTTAAATAAACAATCTGACTAATTATATATATTTAGATTTATATAATGATTCTTTAATTTCAGATTACTTGAAAATGATCCATTCCATCTTAAAAGCACAATGGTTCATATAGCATCAGCTATGGAGCTTGGACATTCAAATGAACTTTATCTCATGGCTTGCAAGTTAGTCAAGGACTACCCTCAAAAGTTAGAAAAACTATATTTAAAAAAAAAAACTTTTTTTTATAAAAAAATTTCTAATATTTTTGGTTTCCAAAGGGCGATATCATGGTTTGCTGTTGGCTGCTGCTCTTATTGTATCAATAAGTATGACCAGTCACGCCGTTATTTCAGGTAAATAAATCCCAATATTTTACTTTTTACTTTTTACCCATAAATTTACATAATACCAATAAATTTACATTTCTTTATTTGATTTATTATTAATATGACAGCAAGGCAACTAGCTTAGGAAGGAACTTTTGCCCCTGGTTGGATAGGATATGAGAATGCTTATGTAGGCAAAGAAGAAGGTGATCAAGCTATGTCTGGTTATCGAACTGCTGCATTTTTATTTCCTGGGTAATTTATCTTTTTTCTTTTATTTAAATTAAAAAATATATAATATTATCAAAGTGTAATATGATTAAATTATGTGTTTTTAATCTTTAGGTGTTGACTTACCTACTTTATATATTGGAATGGAGTACATGCGTACCTAGGGATGAGCTTTAGAACCGGACCGGTTCGGAACCGGAACCGGTATTCGTATATTATAAGAACCGGGAACCGGACCGCCGGTTCCGGTTCCGGTCCCGGTTTTTCTGTTATTTTTCAAAATAGAACCGGTTTAAAATATTATAGATGATATGTTATCTTCCGGAGCTTGTAAATGATTCAATATTTAACCAAATTATGACTTTTTACATTCTAAATTGAAGTACAAACACTAAATTACATGATGAAAAAAGAATCAAGTAGTTTCGACTTCATATGAGTGAGTTATGCGCATTTTAAAAGCGGGACGGATTTAAAAAAACAAATGTTGAAACAGAAAATACGCAACATTGATATGTTGTCTTCCGAGGTCTATAACTGATTCAATATCTAACCAAAGTATGTGTTTTTATAGTCTAAAATGAACTACAAACACCAAATTACATGCTGGAAAAAAAATTAAGTAATTCCGACGTCATATGAATGAGTTATGCTCATTTAAAAAAATATGACAGATTCAAAAAAAACAAAATAAAAAATGTTGAAATAGAAAAAACGCAACATTCTTTCGGGGCATGTGTCAGATTCAATATCTAACCAAAACATATGTTTGTACAGTAAAAAATTAACTACAAACTCCAAATTATATGTTGGAAAACAAATCAAATAATTCCGACTTCATATGAGTGAGTTATGCATATTTTAAAAAACGAAAAAAATGTCAAACCGGTTCCGGTTTTTAGAACCGGGACCGGTTTTCATAAAAATGGAGAACCGGTAACCGGACCTTGTTACCAATTCCGGTTCCGGTTCCGGTTCCGGTCCGGTTCCGGTTCCGACAGTTCTAATGCTCATCCCTATGCGTACCCACAACTTCAAACTCGTTGATCAGGTGGCAATTGCTATACCACATTCTTAACAAAATGTCTAAAATACCCTTTTCTTTATTTGGTTTGATGTAATTTCATTTTTCTTTGGTTGTGTATAGTTTTTTATGCAAGCAAAGGCAATATGTCCTTTGGATCCACTTGTGTATAATAAGCTTGGAGTTGTTGCTTATCATATAAAAGAGTACGCATTCTTTACTTCTGTAACGTCCGTAGATCAGGGCTAGTCAATTTAGAGACGATAAGCATAAAAAATGACTTTTTGATGGAAGATTATTTAGAAGGATTAATCTTAACCAAGTTGTAGTATATGTCTCAAGGTTTTCGAAAATATAAAGAACGCCGAAATCCGAGTTATAACGAAGAAGTTATGACATGTCGAAGTTTCGCGACAGAACCGGCACGACACAGCGCGACGTAAATAGTGAATTTACGATATAGAGATATTTGGATTTAGCGATCTAAACGAAAGTCGTAGAATACGTTAAACCGAGAGCGTGCATGAAAAGAACGCCCAAATCTGACTTCGTATGAGGAAGTTATGATTTTTCGAAGTTTCGGCTTAGCAGTGTACAACCCGAAGTTCGAATATGAGATCGAGCGATATTTAGCCAAAACAATCTAAACGAGAATCGAAGATCTCGTTGATAGTAGTCCAACGGTAAAAAGACATACGAAAACGGACGTCAAATGAAGGAGTTATGAATTTCTAACGGAGTTTTCCTGTCCCGGCCTACTAAAA